TTTTAAATCCCCAGCACTATGTGCCTGGCACATAGCAGACACTTACTGAATGCTTACTGATGAACTTCTTCCTCCTCTGCCCTCTCTGGATCCACGGGAAGGAGCTCCTGGTGAGGAAACATCCTCCACCAATGCAGATTGGCCAGCACAACTCGCCTCATCTTAGAGGGGGCACAGAAAAGGTAAGTCATTTTCCTGGGTTCCCACAGCCATTATGTGTCAGAAGCTTCCATTAACTCACATGTTCTTGATGCGGAGACTTGTTCATTGCCTCCCTTTTTCCTCTTTACAACTTCCACACACTGGTCCTAATTTTGCCTTCTGGGGCCAAACAGAACAAATAAAATCCCCATTCTCTAGGTCATCTCTTCAAATAATGGAAGGCGGTTACCATGTTCCAATTAAGTCTTCTTCAGACCGAGCACTCCCCCAACCCCCAGAACCTTCATAAGAGCCTCTTATGGCATGAGCTACAGGCTGTTCGATCTCCCTCTGGATACACCCCAATGTGTCATGCCCTTCCTCAGCTATGGGACCAAGACCTGAACACAGACAGCACTCCAGGGGTGGACTGAGTAGGGCAGAAAAGACAGCAAAAACACTATTTCCTTAATCCTGGACTCTATGCCTCTCAGTGCTACTTAAGATGATAATAATTTTAGGCTCTTTTAGTTGCCAAGTCACTCTGGAGTCATACTGATTTTTTCTATCCACTAAAACCCCCAGATCTTTTTTAGACAAATTGCTAACCGTGTTTCCCCATCTTGAACTTGTGAAGTTGATTTTTTTTAACCCAAGGGTAAGATTTTACATTTATACCTATTCATTTTCATCTTCTTTGATCTTACTCAATGTTCTAACCCTATCAAGACCTTTTGGGGTCCAAAATCTGGCATCCATTATGTTAATTTCCCTCCCAGCTTTGTATAGCTGCAAACTTGGTAAACAATTATGACTTTATTAAATCATTGATAAAATGTTAGTATGGGGTCATATGCAATCTCCTGCTGTATTCCTTGGGAGACCTCCAATGTCAAGTTGACATTGATTATTAATGATCACTTTTAGGGTTTGGCCATTTGAACAGCTCTGAATCTCCCTAAATATATTATCACTTAACCTACATCTTTCCATCTTGCCCGTAAGAATAGTATAAATGACTTTGTGCAATGTTTTCCCAAAATGTAGGTAAACTCTATCTACTGTATTCCTTTGACCTAATAATCTAGTAATCTTATTTAAAAAAAAAAAGGAAAATGAGATGAGTCTGATAAAGCTTCTTGTTAATGAATCATCGTAGCTCTTTGTGATCACTGCTTCCCTTTCTCTATGTTCACTAGCCATCCTAGAGTTTTGCCAGGAATTGAAGTCGAATTCACTGGCCTATAGTTTTCAATTCTGTTCTCTTTTCCTTTTTGAAAAGTTAAAACAACAATCACGCTTCTCTAGTCCTGTGGTAGCTCTCCTATTGTTTATGATGTTTCAAAGAGGGTTGACTGATTTATCAAGAACATCTGCCAATTTCTTGGGTACTCCAGGATAGTTCAGCTGGGTCTGGTGACTTGGACTTCTCCAGGGCAGCAAGCTGCTGTCCAATTACCTCCTTACTTATCTGTGGTATCAACTCCTTATTGGCCAATTTTGTTCAGTCCTTTACAATCCAAAGATCCTTATCCTTAGAGGGGGAAACAGAAATTCAATAAGACCAGGTCTGTCTCCTTTTCAGCATCCATTGGAGTCCCATCTGCCCCAAGCAATGCTGCTATCACTATTTTGATGTTCTTCTTTCTTCCAATACCTGTCTGACCATGCCTTGGTTTTCTTCACTGGATTAGCCATCCCCTATTCCAAAACCCTGGATAGTTCCCAAAGCTCTGTCTTTATCTGCTCACACCTTAGGGGGATTTAACTGGCAACCAGCTGAGGGCAAGCACTATGGTGAGAGCACCACAGGCTGGGTGTGTGGTTGGGGGGTGGAAAGAGGTTATAGTTTCTAGGAGAAAAGAGAAGAGTTGAGAAGAGGAGAGTGCAGAAAGCCCCTCTCCCAGCCCCTCCAGAAAATATGACCATACTTACAGTTTTTGTGGCTTCTTTATAGATCCTGTTCCCTTGCTGGACAGCTCTGATTATTAGAATCTTCTTTGTGTTAGACTGAACTGGGCCTCCCTGTAATTCCCCTTAGGTCTCCCAGTTCTGCCTGAGGGAATGGGAGTCATATTGCTTAAGGGCAGCTTAGGTGACACAGTGGATAGAACTCTGAGCCTGGAGTCAAGACGGCTCATCTTCCTGAGTTCAAATCTGGCCTCAGACACTGACTAGCTGTGTGACCCTGGGCAAGTCACTTAACTCTGTTTGCCTCAGTTTCCTCATCTGTAAAGTGAACTGGAGAAGGAAATGGCAAACCAGTACAGTATCTCTGCCAAGAAAATCTGAAATGGGGTCAGAAAGAATCAGACCTGACTGAAAAACAACTGAACCACAAATAATTTAATCCTCTGTATTTTTATAATTATTTTGTTTCATTAAATGATTTGGATTCATGATCACTTGGTGTGATCTGGTAAAGGAAGCATTGGTTGGGGCCTGTCAGCTATAAAGCCAAATAGAGAATTACCTCAGTAGTATCATAGATTTGGATGTAGGTGAGAAGGGGGTCATTAAGAAATATAGCTAAACAGTCATTCCAGTGGTAAAGATTGCAGGGTTTTAGCAGCTTTCAGATTCAAGGTGAGTCAACAGTGTGACATGACTACCATGTTATTCAAGGCTATGTTGAGAGACCTAGGAGGTTCCATTATTCTCTGCCTTGGTCAGACCACATCCGGAGTATCGTGTTCAGTTCTGGGCACTGTATTTTAAGAAATGGAAAGATGAACTGGAACCCTTCCAGACCAAGGTGAATAGGATGCTGAAAGGCCTGGAGAACATGTTTTAAAAGCATTCATCGGAGAAACTGGGGATTTTTAGCTTACAGATGAGAAAACATAGAGGGACAAGATAACTAACTGTCTGTTTCTTACTCCCTGTGTGCCTCAATTTCCTCATGTGTTTAAAAAAAAAAAGACATTGTTGGACTAGATGACCTCCTAGCCTTCCACCTTCACCCCTGGGCTTTCTTTGGTTTTATTCTTTTTCTCATTCCCAAGCTAAGGCTCCAGGGGAATCAGGATAAGGGGTGACTGTCTAGAATGAATCTGCTCAAGTCCCTTCTCCTGAGTTCTTGATAAGTACTCCTGCATAAGTAGT